CATGCTGAAAACAAAAGGCAGCTACCAGAACAGATTGGCAGCAAAAATAATGCTGTGCTTTGAGCACCACAAACTTAAAAAAGACCCTATCAACATAAAATGAAATCCAAATAACCATAAAAGATAAAAAAAAACCTCAAAATACCATCCCTTAAACAAAAGCCCATTTTTTGTAGCAACAAAAAATTGTTTAGGCCCTATTAATTTACAATAAAAACCATTTCATCCGCAAAATAATGACAGCCCCCAAAATAATATTACTGAAACAAAATATTTATCCTCAGCTATATGATAAAAAAATAAACAAAACAATATATCCAAAATAATGAAGTAATAATGAAAACTCAAATACTGCCCCCCACAACAAAAGCCCCTTTTAATACCAAAAATACACCACAAAATTAAATTAAATACAAATAATATTTAAAAAAAAGGCATCATCAAAAAGGCGTTGATCGCCCAAAGAGCTAGCAATCAGAATTAAAGTACAGTTTCCCAACTGACCCAAATATTTTCTTTGCAGTTTGTTAGTGCTGCCTTTCTTTTTCCTGCAACAGCTTCCAATACACTGACACTATGGCTGCTCTGTGCCCACCCTTTAACAGTGAGTGGACTGGCACATAACAAAGACCTCATTATTGGCCCCTTAAGCCAACTGACCTAAGCTGAAAGGCCCTTGCAGTGTATTACAATGAATTTGTGCATGCAAATTCCTGCAGTTTGGCGGGTCATTGAACAGTCAAGGGGCCACCTTGAACCCACAATTGACCAGAGCTTGAACCTCACCCTTATATACAGCATAGCATACAGTCTAGGCTGTGTAATGAAAGGTAAAACATACAGAGCACAATGATCCACTGTATGTCAAACACAAAACAGTGGACATTGTACAGAGGTTTGCACTATGTAACTTAGCAGAGTGCAGCAGTCCAGTTTACATAATACAAGCCATATGAAGTATGCAGCATACAGCATAGTTTCTACAGTGCAACGGTCCAGAGTATGGAACATGCAGCACAATATACATAGTACAATGGTTTACAGTTTGTAACATAAAGCATGGTATATAGAGGGTAAAATTCCTTAGACATTGGTATTTATGCTCATTATGAATAAATCACACCTGTTTTACCGTGTCTATTGAGCAAGACCTACTTTTAATAAACATGCCACATCAACCCTCCCTGTTTGTTTTTTCTTGGAACAAATCTAACAACTCTTATGAAAAGGTCACAGCGTGAGCAATAGTTTAATATGACAGTATTTAGTTTACAACTTAAAAATATTCTGACACCTTTATAGACATAACTTTTGTTGTTTATTTTTGCAGCATTTTATTTTTTTATATGTACTATTTCTTCAAGGTGGCTCTCATTGAAATGAACAAGCCAGGCTGCTTCACCAGCCAGCTGGAAAGTCACTGCATGCATACTGCTAATCTAATCTTAATCAAGTTCATGCAAATATAGGAAAATGTTAAATGTGCCTGTACTGAGAGCTGCTGCTCTGTACAAATGACTATAAATGACTGTGCTCAACCTTCTTCTTCCTGGCACATAAGGCTGGCCAGATGTACAGTACCTTAATTTAGCATGAAACATATGACATTGTTGATTGTTTTAACATACAGCAGCGTGGGCAAAGCTTTTACTGTCTTTACAGAGAGTGATAGCTAACTTCACTTTTATACCCAAAAGTGATACATTTAGTTTTATATAAAAATGTAGTAAAATGATAAAGTAACCCATGAAAATTAGAGATGATGAATTAAATGATACATTTTAAAGATGAACTATAGTTTATTTTGTTAAAGGAGAACTATGGGGTCAGGGCTTTTCCCCATAGTCCTCCTTAGGGTAATGGGGGGACACAAACTAACGTCCTCCCGTTACCCTAAGCTCAGTATACCACCAGCTACGGCTGGTGGTATACCGGCTCACGGTATACTGAGACGCCGCAGCCGGAGCGGATCCCGACATCGATGCTGAGATCCGCCCAGCTGCATGAGTGACAGGGGAGGGGAATCCAGCCCCTCCCCTGTCACGGGGGAGAGCCGTGACAGGATCGAGAGGTGAGCGAACGCCGGTATATGTTCGCTCACCTCCCGATCTACTGAGCCGACCTGTGACAGTCTCATTGTCACAGGTTGGCTAGAACTATGAGGTGAGTGAGAAGCACTCACCTCATAGTTCTCCTTTAACCATTCTTTTTCATTCTTTTTTACAGAAACCTTTTTTTATTTATTGTTTTATTTACAGAAACCTGTGCTAAGAAAAATACAGGGGCTGAAATGTCTGCCCTTCCTCTTAAAATGCTAATTGACTGGCTTTCTGCAACATCAATGACTTTCTGACCTGGAACAAGCATAAAGCAAACAAAGTCAGAGTAAAGTCATAACTTTCTGATTTACATGCAGTACTTGTTCTAAATCAGTGGCTCAGAAAGTACTGAAGCCTTTGAATAAGCATGGCATCCATGAAACTTGTATATTTAATATAAGATGTCACAAATAACAGTACAGACTTCTTCTACATAGCTACAAGCAGATATAAGCCTAGCACTAAGCCCAAGTGCCTGTATTGCAAGTATTCAAATCCCAAGCTTGAGTAGGCAGTAAAGACATTGGCATATATGTCAGTTAAAGGGACATAATTACTTTGGCTAGTCAGCTATCCAGTGCTCCTCCATAGCTCCTTTCACTGTTGCAGTCACAGCCAAAATACCCGGTGCCATCTGGTGTCAGAAGTCTGAAGAAACAGTGATGTCAAGCCCTCCATCAGGTGGCAGTGCTCTGGATTAGAAATTCCCCACTTAGCCCTATCACTGCTTGTGAGGAGGTCACATGCTCCCCCATGCTGGAATTATCAGGTATTTTGCAGTGGTAGCTACAGAAGGAGTGGCAGGGAAGCACCGGAGAGGTGTGTATAAAGTGGTTGGGGTAGCTTTTAACAGACAATGCAACCTTGCCTTGAATGGAGTTTAGTACAAAGAGAGGATTGGTTTAGCACCAGGAAGTAAGTTGCTGGCTGGATCACCAGTTGGAAACAAAGAAAAAAAGCCAAAATAATGTAGCACCCCCTGACCTCTAGAAGCATATTGGTGAACTTCTGAGGCAGGGTGGGCTAACATTTCAACTCAGGGATGAGTCCTTTGCTTGTTTGTGGGACATCTCGAACAATACAGAACTCCAGACTCAGGCTCAGGTGACTACTTTTGTTCCCCATGGTTCCTGTGTGTGTTGTAAAGTAGCCACCGCTCCAAGCTTGCACCCATGATAGACCACAATCTCACATGTAGTTTACTAATTCGCATTGAGATTGTAGTCCATCAGTGTGTGAGTGAACTTGGAGAGGGTTGCTATTTGTCAACAATCTGAGGATCTACAGCTGAGTGATGCACATATCAGTTACATTTTTTCTGTGTTTAGTGTCTTTTTAACATAGCTATGCTAAATTTATTTAGCCATGAAACCTATGCCACAGAGCTAATTTTATAGTAGGATAGTGAAATCAAAGTTGAGAGAATTTTACTTCCCCGAGGTACCCAGAACCATGAGGGAAAGGGGCTTTCAAGACACTCAATCTATCCATTCAAATTATTGTCATTTAAACACAATTGTATTAAATAGACAGCGAAAAGTTAGTTAAAAATAGCCATCTTAAAAGAAATGTACAATTTGTATAACAAATTCATTCTTTCAATAATATACAATCAATATCCACATAGTTCAAATGTACCTAGAACACTATAGACATATCAATGAACAACTTCAGATCTAAAATCAATTTGTCTGTTTGTCAACCTTGTATATACAAAACAAAACAACCTTTTGTAGTGGATATGGTATAGGAGATCATTTTCCCCGAGGGGGCCGTGAACAGGTGCACAAACAAACGGGCCGAAACACCCCAAACACCAAGGGATCTATATACATACATGCATGGTCGCTAGTGGTTCCATGCAGACCTGCTATTTACTCCCCCCTCCAGTTTGAATATATGTCAGTAAATATCAGAGTTCCAAATAACCACTTCAAAATTCTTCCCAGAACAAGCCCTATACTAGTACATCCATAATCCAGGGGCATAAAAGGGCTGATATCTGTGCATACTAATGGTGAAAGTATATAAACCCTCTGGCCTAATTATATTCACCATTAGTATGCACAGATATCAGCCCTTTCATGCCCCTGGTTTATGGATGTACTAGTATAGGGCTTGATCTGGGAAGGATTTTGAAGTAGTTATTTGTGACCACTAGCAACCATGCATGTATCTATGTGGATGTGTACTAGATATTTTTTCATTTCTTTCTTTCTTTTTTTTCTTTCTTTCTCCAGCTCCCTTGGTGTTTGGGGTGTTCCAGCCCGTTTTTTCGTGCACCTGTCCATGGTCCTATCGGGGCAAACAATCTCCTATACCATATCCACAACAAAAGGTTTTTGGTTAGTATATACAAGGTTGACAAACAAACAAATTGATTTTAGATCTGAACTTGTTATTCATTGCTATGTCTATAGTGCTCTGGGTATTGAAATCTTCAATAGGAAGATTTGCCACAAAATGGCAAAAAATGTTGAGGATCCGGGAAAAAGAACAAACTTATGGACATTTGAACTATGTGGATATTGATTGTATATCATCAAAATAATTAATTTGCTATACCTATGTGGGCTTATGGACAGATTGTACATTTCTTTTAAGATGGCTATTTTAAACTAACTTTTAGCTGTGTATTTGATAAAATCATGTTTTAATGACGATACTTTGAGTGGATAGATCGAGTGTCTTGAAAGCCCCTTTCTCCCATGGCTCTGGGTACCTGGGGGAAGTAAAAATCTCCCAACTTTGATTTCACAATATATTTGGGGTGTATTACTTGTATCTATAAATACCACAACGCCCACACTTTTTTCTTGTTCTATAGTAGGATAGACTGAGACACACTTCAACATTCTGGAAGAAACTCCGGCCTAATTATTAAGTAAAATAAATACCTACCTGAAATTCTGTCCTGAATAAGTGCCTTGGGGTAGTCCTCTTCAAAACTCTGCACCTAGAATATACAAAATCGGGAGAGGTTCATTGCCAGAGTGGTATGCACATATATACTGTACATGTTGTAAGCTAAGGTTATTATATTTCTAGAAGGGAAACTATACAGGGAAAAGTACATCACTGTTCTTGCTGATCTTTTAAAAATGCTAGTAACCTGGCTGGCTTTAAATCCAATACCTTCTGCATGCCTCCCAACTTTTGTGAGATGGGAAAAAGATACATATAAAGCAACAAGTATGTATGCAAAGGTTATGCTCCTGCTATACCTCCATTAATGTGGACCATGGGGATAAATGTGCAATAAATGATTAGTTTAACCCAAAACTGTTTTTAGTACCATCATTATTTTTCCTTTATTATGGGTTTTCAAAATAACAAATAATGTAAAGGCTAGATAAAAGGTTTAGTACAGTAAAACACTTTTGATAGTTAAATAGTAATTTTTTAATAGAGATTTATACATTAGACCAAAAAGAGGGACAACTGAGGAAGAAAGAGAGACAGAGGGACAATCCCTCCAAATGAGGGACAGTTGGGAGCTATGCTTTCTGAGTCATTGACCTGAAACAAATATACACCCTGTATAGTTAGACTGAAGTTGAAACCTATTATTACATATTTATTCCAGGTTGTTGACTTAATATTAAAGCCTTTGTTCAGTAACATCCTGTTATAGAGTAAGAATTATCTGTCCTGTCTCCCAATTGTACTCCTGCCTTGTCATCCTGTCATGCAGGCTTCCAAAGGAGACTACAAGTCTCTATTTCAACACACATCCCACACGCATTTGTCAACTGTTGTCACCATATGAAAACCTGGCATACATGCAGAAAGTGTCTGCAAAGATACTGTAGGAGATAAGCGGCACAAGGGATGAAAAAAAGTAAAAGCAAGTATTTTATTTTAAAAAGGCAATTGTTTAGAATACATAATTCTTTAGCAAACCTCTGTTATCCATCTAGGGTTTAGAGCTACTTTTAAAGTGGAATTTAACTCACCTACCCTCTCTATCTCACCAGCACTGAATCCTCTCCCATGCTTCTTCTAGGGGCAAGGTCTTCAGCTGTCTTGAGTGGCCAATGAGTGATGAATGAATTCCCACACATATGCAAAGGAGTTCATTCGTCCCAGCACAGTGGTAGGGTAGGAATGAATACTGCATGTGTAGCTAAGTGTACACTCTGAAAACGTTTGCCAACAGGCAGGTGAGCCTAGCCATACCACGTCTCTTCTGCAATAAAGTGCCTGCCTGCTTGCAATTTTCTTTATTCTTTTAACTTTAGTTTCACTTTAAAGGCAAACTTAACAAAGCAGTACTTATAGAACAAAAGCACGCAGTAATTGTAGAAAAAATCCCTCTAAAAACTGTTTATGGTGATCTCTTGCCTTTAACTACTGGAACTCATAAAGGAGATACATTTTTTGTTCCATACTGTTCCTGTTACAGAAACCAAATGCAAATTCTTTCAATGTTTTGCTTTCCTGTTTTTAATCTGTGCTGTTAATCAGCAGGTTGCAATGAAGAGGATGGGCAGAATCACAGAATGTGTGTGGATGTCCCACTGCAAGCAAAGCAGGTAAAAGTGTTAATTAGTTGTTTTCTGTGACTTCAACAGCTCCTCGCTTCAAAACATAAACTGATTTTTTCTAAAGTTTGGTAAAAAATTTATATATTCTGATACAATGAAAGTGGAACAGGAACAAGTGGGGTTCCATGTTAGCAGTGGAACAAGAATTTAAGTGAACCTCTGGGGTAAACAAACTTGGAAAGTTGGCTGTTAGTCATGTTTATTCCCCCAAACCCACTGTGATCTGTTATGCAATTACTGACCACAGCTTACTTGCTTGAGTTCTTATCCAAATCACCCCATCCTTCACAGCTTCCTGTAGACCAGTGAGGCTATCCATCAAACTTGGTGACCAATAGAAAATAGGGGATTGCTGGAAGGAAGCTAACCAGGGATCAACAACAAAATCTCTGGTTTGTATTCACATGATAGAAGACCCCAGAATTTGGGGATGAATTAGATTTACTTTTTTAGAGATCGCAGATTCTAGTTTTTAAGATGAAGCCTTTATTCTTGTACATGATATCTGCATCTGTTAGTCGTATATGTGTTACATGTCTTTTTCTGTAGACTCTATCATTCTGTAAAAGTGCTGCTTCTTCAACTTGATCTGATTTGATGCACTTGAGTCAGCCGAATACCTGATATGCAGTTTACTGCCTAAGAATAGCTTAAGTTTAAAATGAAGATCAGCAGCTAATAGCCCTTAGGCAATCCAACAGGCTGATACAAACCTAGGTTTACAAAGACAAACCAAGCATCTGCTAAGTGCGATTTCTATTTGTAGCACCTATTATATTTTATCGACTGTAAACTAGTAAAGTGACTTAAAGCAATCAAATACTTTGGTTTTTTTAATTTTCCCTAAGGAACTGCCCCTTTAATGGATCAAAACTTCAAGCAGATGGTTATGTGTATACACAATGTTTTTAACAATGTGAGAATCAAGTACAGCTTGTGGACTAACAAAAATTGCTTAATTTACGGCAAACCTTTCATGGCAAATGGAAGGTCTGTTTTTGCCAGCCACCTGACCCCCTCCCCCCCAACACATATGACTTAAACATTTTTAAACAACCCCCCACCCCCCAAAAAAAATTACTTCAACCTCCAACAGTGTTGAGGGAATAAAACTAGGTATAAAACTATACTAACAAGGGGAGGTGATAATAGATGTGGTGATTTCACAATTATATGTTATACCATGAGCATAGCAACAAAAAATAGAGTGGTCCAGATTCCAGATATTCCAGAGTGGTCCAGATAGAGGTTCCAGATGTATTGATCAGCCACAGAAGCAGTGTGAGCACAAAGCTGACTGACTTTCCTTCAAACTGGGAAAAGTTCAGCACTGCTATCAGCTCAGTACCAGCAGAAACCAATGGGACCCTGATATATACTTCTACAGTATGTAGAAGTCTTCTCAGATGTGATCTGCATGGAAGACTTGTGACCAAAAAGCCATCCTTGTGAGGTGGAAACAAAGCCAGATGACTTAACTTTGAGTAACAACACAATGGCTCGGATGCAGGGCCCATTCATACCATCCAGTGTGTTCATTGCACAGTCTCCATGGGATGAACAAGCTGAATCGCATAAGCAAAGCCTCTCTGGTTTCTGGGGTGGGAGGGTGTGTGGTGGTGCCAATCAAAATGGGCAGCAGGTGTTAGTTGAGTCAGAATATGAAACAGTTGACTTTAACATAGTAGTTTGTTGGCCAAAAGCACTGCAAAACTGTCTTATGAGAATAGTAGATGGATGAACGTCTGCATTCCTAAGTGAAAGAAAAAAGTAAACATTAAGGATTTAAATCTTAAAAATTCTTTCAAGTACCTTGACTATTTACAGAAATTTATCTTATTTGTATATTATTTAGCTGTAGATCCTCAAATCATCTCTGAATTGGTGCGGACCTTCTGGAGGGTGGCCACTGTTGTTCCCCATGGTCCCTGTGTGTGTTGTAAAGTAGCCACCGCTCCAAGTTCACTGACATGATGCACTGCAAACTAATTTGCACTGAGATTGTACTCTACCATGGGAGAGAGCTTGGTGCAGTGGCTACTTTACAACACACACAGGGACCATGGGGAACAAAAGTAGCAAGTAGGAAGCAAATATAAAGTATATTTAATTCCTAAGTTTTGTGTCACTTTAAGGAAAAGTGCAGATCGATTTTTATTTAACATGCAGTACCATCTGTGAAACATCTGATTGATCTTAACTTTACTCTATAGCATAAGATGACCCTAAACACAGAGCCAAAATGATAAAAGATGATCTGCAGTAAAAAGAACAAGGAATTGTGCAACAGATTGTATGGTCCTGATCTCAACATCATCTAAATAGCCTGTGATCACTTGCACAGACTAAAGTAAGAGTATGGGGGGGAGGGGTGTTAACTGAAAATGTAAGTATATTGGTTTTACAATAGGTAAAGAAACATAAACATGGTCAAAGATCTCATGAAGACTAGTTTTATGGCAGGTGTCCTTTAATTTACAAGACTAATTAATGTCTTGAAATGTATTCGTAGCTAGTACCATATTTGTAAATGGTACCTGCCCAAGTAGTTATTAGTATTATGTTATTATTATGTGTTTTCTACAATAATAAAACACGTTTTCTTTACCTTAACAACTTAGATAAGGAACAAGGGAATGATGTTGGGCAGTCGGAGGACTAAAATCTGATATCACTTGAAAAGTCACTTTGGCATGCCCTAAATGCCATCACGACCTAAGTCTGGCCCTTTTTTTGTTTTATTCCTATGTCATCCCTCTTTCTTTTTCACTGAATTGTTTTTGTCTCTCTGTCTAGGTATTTCACTTCGCTTTTCACATGTGTTTATTCTCTCCTCTAGTTTGTCTTGTTTCCTTCCCTTAGAGTTCTCCCCTCTCTACATATTTTGTGAAAATATAGTTTCAGAAACTGCCCTCTGTGGCCACCACATTAACCATTTCACATTTCACATAGAACTATTTCACAAAACCACTTCTATTTTACATAGAAGTGGTTTTGAGTCTAGACATTAAGTTCTATTGCAGAGTATAGGTTGGTGGCCAGACCTGGTTTTGTAGCTCTCCTCCAGCTGTGTCAATTTACCCCATACTGGCATCATATGTCCATTACAATGTGGTGTGAGAAGGTAAGCATTTAATTCAAGCATTGCAATTTAAGGTAGGGACTAGCCAGGGAGGTATCACTTTGATGCAATTGTGCAGCTAGAACATGCATTATAACATATGAGAATCAAAAATCCATGTTTCTATCCATGGTTTTCATCCAAAGTTAAAAATTCTTGAAACTAAAACTGCTGATATATCATCAAAAGATAGCTTACCTCTTCCATTTCAAATGAATCTGGTGGTTGGAGTCTGTTTTGGGTAGATGCTTGTCTGAATGTTTTAGAAAGGACTTTAGAGCCTCTTAATGTTCTGATTTTGGCAGACATTTCAGGAAGGCTGTATTGTTTTACAGGTGCAGACAGTGAACATAGCTGGGCTTCAGGCCTTGAGGGACTGACATTTGCATTGTCTGTGGTTGGAAGTTGTTCTTTTGATAAAACCTCTGCATTTCCCTGATCTGTACTGTGCCTTCTCTTTCTGAAAATGTTTACATTTGCTGTATCTTTTAATGGCTCACGTTGGTCTTGGTTCTCAGTTAGTTCATCACTATCCACACAAGGGCCTGGATTCTCATCAACTATTTTCACTTGTCTGGAAAATTTCCAAAGAAGCTGTCGTATCCGCTTTCGTTTTTCCTGAGTTAGTGTAGATTTTTTAACATTCTTATTTTCACCGTTTTGAATGAAGTGAACATCTTTCAGCAAAGATGAAAATGCGCTTGTTACTTGCTCTAGAACTTCCAGCTGACGGAATCGACCTAGAAAATGAAAATACTGTATGTTTAAAGTGAAATTATTTGATTAGGTTTTCCCTTTGGCCAAGACCTGGATCTTCCCCTTGGGGCTCCAGCCTGTATGGGGATGACCTGGGGCAGCTTTGGGTACACACACCTCCTTGCCTTACATGCATTGCTGTTATTGTATTCCCCTACCCACTCTTGAATATTACATGTGGTATTTAGCAGTTCCTATCACCCCTTATTTATTACATGACCAAGTTGTGTCACGTTTTCTTTATCTGTGTTTTTTTGTGTTATGCTGCAATTCGATTTGCATTTTCATTCTTAAAACCAAAAAACATTTTTGTAAAAGAAATTATTTGCTTAGCTGCTGTGTTAAAAACACTTTTTTGTTTAGAATTTTTCTAAAGGTGAGGTTTAGTCCTTTTATTAATTCTAATATATACATGTAGTAAAGATTCACTTTATATAAATACTATTATCAATATGCATTTATATTTGAAAAGCGTTTTTTCTATGTATTGGGCAATTATATATACAGTATATTGGGGCAACGTCACAATGTGTTATATCGTTCCTAAGCGCCAAAGAATAATGGTTGTCATCAGGTCTCCACCACAGTATCGAAGCTCAGCACCAGGTGGCAGTTCTTCACGAGTCAGAGACCCACTGATAATCTAAATACGATAAAAGCACAGAAGAGCGCCTTCTCTGGTGCAATATTACTTTTATTGTGAATACAAAATAAGGATAACCATACCCACAAATGTGTGCGAACAAAAAGCCTCATTCATTCATGAGGCTTTCTGTTCACATAATTTTGTGAGTATGGCTATTCTTATTTTTTATTCACAATGAAAGTATATTATTATTATTATTATTATTATAAAGTATATTAGAGCAGCCATATATGTATGGCCCTGTTTTACTGCTACTATTCTCAATGCAAATCTTTGAGTCGACTAATTTAAAACTATAGCATTTTGCGTGGAAGATACTTTTCGGGTTCATATACTAAAAGCAAAGAGGCTGTTCACTTGGCAAGGGATTTGTTTACTTTGCAAGGGACTGGGTAATCGTCGCAATGTAAATTTTCACCATATTCACTAAGCCAAGGAAAATTCCCTCACTAAATGAAAATTCCCTTGCTGAGTGAACAGCCTATTTGCTTTTAGTAAATCAACCCCTTCTCAAAAGATATTGAGAAACATTTCCCAAGAGAAACATCAAGGCCCCCATTGTTAGTTGTCTGCTTGACCTGCTGACATTCAAGCTTCAGTACTTTAAGTCATTAACCCAGAGTAGTCACAAATGCAGACCCATTATGCAGAAAATGACTTTACTGATATGCAAACTTGTTGTGGGTTAGTGACTTAGAAAGTATTGAAGCAAGAAAGCATAATAGCCAGACAAATAGCAACTAGCATTTTAAGAAGGAAGTAAAAATGGCAGCCCCTATATTTCTTTAATGAAATGCTTACCTTGAGAAGGGAGGATGAATAATTGCAAATTGTCTGCTCCCTCCAGTGGCTAAACTACAAATCTGTATATTTTATTCCATAAAGAATAAAACATCAAGCATTTAATAATGTGAAACTCACATAAAAAAATCACATACATGGTAAACAAGCAATAATATCTCAAAATATGACTAAAAATGAACTATGCTTTTTGTTAAAAAAAAATCAAAAGAAGCACAAAAGTTTAATTTCCCTCGTCCTCTGTTGTGATGAAGTGGCTTATCATTTTTCCCCCTCTCTGTTTTCCCTCCCCCAACTTCCCCATCACAATCAACAACACTACGATCAACCACTCCCATCAAGCCAGGGTACTTGGTTTTTACTTCTTCCAATAACTCAATCTAAACAATTATTTCCTTTGTATCATCTGACCCTCCTACTAGATTGTAATCTCTCATGAGCAGTGCCCTCCTAACCCTATTGTACTGAAACTGTATTGTATTGTAAATTGTATTATAACTGTACTGTCTCCTCCATTTTGTAAAGCGCTGAGCAAATTGTTGGCGCTATATAAATCCTGTATAATAATAATAATAATAATACTCTCTAGAAAAATCTGAATTCAGTATTTTCTATTACTTATCTCTTTACCAATATATATTGCATTAGTGTTGTGTTTCTATAAATTAACTGTGTTTACCTAGGCAGACATATTTTGATGTGCAGAAGTTACATCATCAGCTAACTCCCAATGAGCACTGCAAAAAAGACCCTAGATCTGAAAGATAGGGAGGCTGGAAGAGGGGAGGAGCCCGGACCTTGCATTACTGTAGAGAGCTAACACTTGTACATTATGGTAAGTGCTACCCAGCCACATACCCCCCCACACCCCCCACACACACACAAAATTGATGTACATAGGAACTAATTGTTTTACAGGCAAACACGATTTAAAATTCTGGTCAGTTATTCTTGTGATTCACACAGCTCTGCCACACTGCATAGCCAAGAGTTTCACTTCAGTATTTCCTGGTTCTGACTTTCTGGATCAACTCATTGCTGTTTGGAAAAAACAGATTATTATATTCTATTGTCCAATTAAAAGCTGGAAGCAGAAAGGCGACTAAAAAAAAAAGGAAAAAAGGAAATAGATGTGTCACCTTCTAGCTAAGCAGTGTGCCAGTTGTGTGCCGATCACAAAATTGGCTGACTAGAATGTACTTGAAATATTTAGCTCTGTGCCTGGAGTTCCACCTTAACATCTATTTACCGGAAAACATCTGTATACATATATTTACCATAAAATGGCTAGATTTCTAGACTTCTGCACTCGAGTGTTAGGGTCACTTTAAAAATATATATATATATATTTTCTTTTTTGGAGTAAAATAAGCATCTAAGCCCATTTTTTATTGCATTTCTCAGGTTTTTAAAATTTGCTAAATATATTACAGAAAATATGTAGATAAAATATGTATAAATACCATGCATACAATTTTGATTTTATTTTCACAAATCATTTTCCAGCAGGACTTGGCACCTGCCCACACTGCCAAAAGCACCAAAACCTGGTTCAACGAGCATGGGATTACTGAAGCATCCTGGTCTTCCATAACACCTCAGCAGTGCCACAGGCTGATAGCTTCCATGCCAAGCCGCATTGAGGCAGCAATTGCTGCAAAAGGGGCCCAAACCAAGTACTGAGTACATATGCATGCTTATACTTTTCAGAGGTCCGATATTGTTCTATGTACAATCCTTGTTTTATTGATTGCATGTAATATTCTAATTTTCTGAGATTGTGGATTTGGGGTTTTCATGAGCTGTAAGCCATAATCATCACAATTATGACAAATCATGGCTTGAACTATCTTGCTTTGCATGTTGAGTCTATCTCATATATTAGTTTCACCTTTTAAGTTGCATTAGTGAAATAAATTAACTTTTGCACGATATTCTAATTATTCGAGTTTCACCTGTATATAAATAGCATGTTTTACTGTAATTATAACAAGTAAATATATCCTAAAATACAGACCACATAAATTAGGGTGTTCAATCTCCATCCTTCGTTTTTGGGCATCTAAGAAGACACGGGTGTTAATTCCTTTTGCTGCAGAAGGTGCCATGATAAAGCGGGTGGGAATTTTCGTACAGATGTCTGGTTCATCAATGCCAAATCCCAGATCTATTAGAAGTTCAGCTGGGTCTGCCTCACACAGTTTAAGCACTTCCGTGACACTGTGAGACAAAAAGTAAAATAAAATGTAAATGAGTATACTAATATACATAAGTGAAATGCATACTGCTTTTCTCCGTAGCATCTGTTATGCTGAAAACTAATTTTGCTGAATGCTGTCAATTTGCTGTCAGGAGTATGTAAATGTATGAATATTTTTAGAATTACAATTTTATGCAGGGTGTACATTAGTGTCCCTGAGCCCTGATATGGTAATCATAACATAAGCATGTAGTGAGACCTAATCATTACTTATCACATCAGAAACTCTGATGCCTTTACTGTGCAGAGGACGCATCAGATGACATCTGATCAGAAGTCGCTGGAAAACCATACAAACATGAACAAATACATCGAGGCTGTCAGATATACCTGAGCAAAACATTGTGGCTCTCATTTTGGACACATCAAGACTAGGATCAGGAACTGTCTGGTGGCAACTGTAATATCTGCTGTTGCCCTTGCAAAAATACAGTACAAGTAAGGATAATGTACTTAGCAGTTGTCATGATTGGTTTTGCATCCCTTGAGTCCTATTGCCTCTTTGTATTTACTACTGTAAACCATTTTAATCTAATGTAAAAGTTCCCCCTTGATACTCTTGTCAGTCCACCTAGCAAGCCTGCATTTCCCTCTGTACTTATTAATTTCCAGCCTTTCTGAGGAATTAGTGCTAACAAAGTTCTTAGTCCTGCACATCATTGTTCACTAGCTATTTACAGGTATAGACCCAAGGGTATAGTCATTGTAAGATAGGGATTAGAAGGTATTCTGTTAACTCTGAATCTATGCATATTTCTTAAACCTATGATCCATCATACATTGTTATAGTTGAACTCTGGGCAAAATCAAAAACTACATATCATGCAGTCTGTCACTGCCAGTAGACTTGTTAATTAAAGCCTTACTCCAACTAACACTTTTTTTTGCAGTTAAAGCATTGGGTTCGTATTTAATACAGCTTGGCCTGTAAATGTGGGATGATAAATATGTGTGTGTGTATATATATATATATATACACATATATACCCGCACACGCATATATACACATTTGAAATGAAACAAGTATTTATTCAATGACATTACTGGCTTAACCATATACAGTTATAGAATTTGGTATAGTGAGCCTTTCATACTACATAGCATTGGACAACCGTAGCTTTCTAAATACTACCCATACAAAAGCCCTATACATATATCTTTACTTTTTATACCTCCACAATTATCTAGATCCACGTATGCAGGCCGCTGATATCATACCTATTTAGCATCAATTTACAAAGCTGCATGAGGTATTTTACATTTTATGAAAGCCTCTATTGCTCATCAATCAGTTTTTTTTTTTATCTCAAGAGTCGTTATATTATAACCAACTTGGACTCCTTTTCCTGTTCTCCTCAATAGACAGTTCATAGAAACTCACTGTAATCACCAGCCAGAAGCTAGAGAAATTATTAGCAACAAAAATACAGTACCCATGGCACATTAGATTTTTGCAATCAATCTGTAGGGTCAATTTACATCTCTGTCATTGATGAAGGCCAGCTGCAGCTGTACTTCTGGCACCCTGTGGGGCTTAGTAACTTACTTATGTAAGTAAAAAATCAATTACGGATTCAAAGTTGACCTTTACCCCTTTCACTAAAAAATCACATCATCCTGCAGCTATGCATGCTGATATAAAATCATATTACATTTATTAGTTAACCAAACTTGTTTTTCATTTACATACAAATAGAGTTCATCTACTTCCTGGTCCACTTTTCGCACAAATGATGCACAAATTATGTAATGGTGCATCCTGGGAAGGTTACATCAGCAGAGCATTGCTGGGAAATCTTGTTTGTGATCTCAGGAAAAGGCATTTTCCTCCCCTGAGATGATGTGCATGGTCACATGTCCTAGTAACATGTACCAGAGTTCCAGGAAGTAAAGGGCGATCTAGTAATCTGCCCTTAGTTAACATGGCCACTATCAGAAGACTGGGAAAGAAAAGAGAAATAAGGTATGCAAAGAATACAAAGCCTGCAATTATCTAGAAGTATCTGTTTGTAGATTGTCATTACTAAACATGTCTAAAAGTGTCTTTGTTGTTATTTTAAAGATATGGGTAAAGATATGGGTATTTTTTAATGAATCTAAGCAAATATTAAAAGGTTTTTCAAACTGTAAAAAACACTGTGCCTGGATTTGGTCTTTAAAATTCCAGAGTAATAATTCCTTTACAAAGCTTTGATGAATCATACATATAAAGATATTGTTGGTTTTGTTTGACATACAGCTTTTATTAATAATATTAAAACTATGTATTCAATACTTTCTGCTTTCTTCTACTTTTTACTGTTAAAGTGTTCTACAACCAACCTTGTAGGAGGATTGAATGTAGCATGTTTTGCATTTCCATCCCATTTGGCTGCAGGAGGTGTTTCCATGTATGTATGTAGAGAGCTGGACAAGGGAAATACACAAAATGATATTACTGTATCAACTCAACATTGTAATAATTCAGCATGACAATTCCATTCAATTTGGCTAAGTTTCCTTCTTAAATTAGAGAGAGAAATAGAAAATTGGAAGATAAAAAAAAACAATACGTTGGCTGCAACCCACATCATCTTACTTTGGAAAACAAAATATGGTAGCATATTGTAGGTGCAAGAATAAAGGTGTTAGGTGTTAGCAAATGCTAATTATACTGTAAATGAGACAGAAGGTATTCTGTTTTATGACAGATGGTGAATCAGCTGCTAACCTTCAGGGAACACAGCTTCTTCAGCCATGACTTTCAAAATATATTATTTCTGAAATAATGTGTTCCTTTTTGAGCAATGTACAGCAGAGATCAAACTGCCTAGGTGGTTACATTGCAGAATAGAGAATACATTGTTGATTAAGCAACTCTTAACCTGCTTTGGTTAGTAACTGGGCATTGCTTAGAGAAAACTCTGAAAATTATTTTCTAAAGATTGGGCTTGGAAAGTGACAAAACAGTTAATTGCATATCTATAAAAAAGAGGCAACTTGTGTGTGTTTAATGAGCTATCTAGAGTTTCTGTTCATTAATCAGTCACGAAAGCCAGCACTTGTAATACAAACAATGGGTATGTATCAGCTTTTAAGTAAGCCATTACAAATATGTTCCAGCCCTTTATGTTTGTCTTTTAAACTATTCCTGGGAAATAATTTTCCTATGTCTTCAATTTAGTTACAGATAGTGACGTCTTTGGGAGTTTTGTATGGTCAGATTATTGTTTGGTTGAATGTAGCTCTAAGCTAAGATTAGCAGAACTCCATTTTTGTTTTATTCAGTGATGGAATGTCTAGCTAAGGAAGCTTCTCGTGACCCTGCTACTTCAGTTTAAAGAGAAAGTGTTTTCAGTGAGCACAAAGTGAGTGCACATTTGAGTTATTGCAGTGTTTAACCCTTTCATGCCCATACATCATTGATGCTTAGATTTCCAGGTCAAATGGTCACAGCATCAGCATGTGTCGGTAGAATTGGCAATAATTCTGTGACTGAGTCCATACAAGGCTTTTATTTGGTACATTTGGTATAAAACTGTTGGGGAGATCATCATCTTTATATTGGGAAATAAATGAGCACCCAGCAGATTTCCTATAAACATGTTTTGCTACCTGCAGTGTGGCATGACCTGGATACTGTTTTAGAACATCCAATTTGGATACTCTCCATTTTAAAGTGGCCGCCAAGGACACACTGGATCAGTAACAGCAACACAGGTGACACTGTCAGCATATGTGTGAACTCACAAACTATTTAACAATTGGGGACCACTTTCTATTCACTGCAATCCAATAAATAGTTATGTGTATACTTATGTGGAGATTAAGTGATTCATTGCACGCAAGGTTCTTTTTTTGGTTGTGGTTTTTGGCCTTAATTAGTGGACATTCCATAATGGTCATAACTATCATATACACAGTGAAGCAGCTGACTGCTAATGCATTTTGAGATCGATATATCATCAAATAGAGGCTGAAAGTATGCACTCAATGCTACCAATGTAATGATACACTTCTCTATTAACCAGTACAAATTTATTGACATGCCATCAAACAACTTTACCACAGTCAATATGGTTTTGGTTTTGAAACTCCATTTAATTCCAAAATAGAATGCTAAAAACGAGTGAAAATTAAATGAAATTTCTATAGACAGTCGGAAAGTTTCTGATTCCAATAATGGTATACGTTCTGACGGTATTTTTCATATGAATGTTTGTGCAACAATCTACCCTTGTATACCCTACATAAGAGTGAATGCTGCTTTGGAAGTTAGGGGTGACAAGAACACCCCTGATGATTATGTTACTGTATCTCAGAAGTAAATGCTGACCTTGATAATGGCTCAACAAACACTGTGCCATCCTTCTGATGAGATAAGAAGATAAAGACATTGTCGGGGGATTATTGTGAGTCTCAGCAATGCAGACAAATCATCCCCTGAAGTCTCTTCTGAAACCAGCAGTTCTTAGAGTGTTGATCGCAAAGTCCCCTGCTGTGCTCAGTAGTTCCTCCCACTGACCCCTACATTACTACAGTAATGATGTAGGTGGAAGTAGGTGGAATCACTGAGTACAGTGAGGGACCAGGCGATCAATACTCTCAGAAGTCTCTTAGAGTCAGGGTCATGTTATATGTTAGGGGTTAATGCATAGGTTAAAGTGACACTAAAGTTAAATCTTAAAAATGCATTCAACTGCCTTAACTATTCACAAAAATGTACCTTACTTGTGTATCACTCAGCTGTAGATCCTGAAATCATCTCTCAATTGCTGCTGACACTGTACTTCGTTCTGGAGGGTGGCTACTTTTGTTCCCCATGGTCTCTGTGTGTGTTGTAAAGTAGCCACAGCTAAAAGCTCGCTTCCATGCTGGACTACAATCTCACATTTAGTTTAATAATTTGTATTACGATTGTAGTACATCATGGCAGTGAACTTGGAGCTGTGGCTACTTTACAACACACGGAGATCATGGGGAGCCAAAGTAGCCACCCTCCAGGAGGAAGGACAGTGTCAGCACCAATTCAGAGATTTGAGTATTTACAGCTGAGTTATACACAAATACGCTACATTTTTGTTAATAGTTAAGGTACTTGAGTGTATTTTTGAGGTTTAACACCAGAGAATAGTGGCACTTTAAGCTTTGACTGTGTTGGCAAGGTGTTAAAGTTTAATGCATTATTTTTGGGTTTAAGATTATTGTAAAGGCATAAGTAAATTGTTAAATTTTAAGTGTTGGGGAAGAGGTGTTAAGTAGTATTTACCATTGTAGGGTTTATGTAGGTGATCAGACACAACGAGGGCTAAGTTTTAGGGTATGATTTAGTGTAAGGGACACTGTCACTTAGGTGAGCTGTAAGATTTGCATGTGTTCTCAGTGTTGAGAGGTCTGCACTGAAAACTTACAGCACTGAACTGTCATCGCCAAGAATTAAATTGCCAAAGTATTTAAACTATTCAACAGCAATTCCCCTACCCATAAAGCTGTAAAGGAATTTGTGAGCTGTAAAACTAATTTTTTCATTTTAAACAGTTCTATAGTTGGCCACTAGTTTTAAGCAGTTTGGATGTATAAAGAATAGGAAAAAATATTAAAGTGATAGATATCTGTACTGACAGTGATTATATATCATGCACTTTGCCAAAAAATTTAAATCTCCTGGATTACTGTGACGTAATTTAATATAAATAAAAGTATTTTCTCAAGCATGTGACTGGTTACTGTTTGTACAACAGTCATTCATTCTCAGGTGTATCCTAATAGGGTAGTATTGTGTCTATTACACAGGGCAAAGTGTTCCACTAATGAAGACAGAACAGATTTTCACAGAACGTGTTCATAGAAAACAATGAATTATAGACACTTTTTGTATGTCAGTTGTATTGCCTTGTAGACATAATTTTCAAATATAATGATAAGTTTAACAATATTAATAATTAATAATAATATATTGTAACTTTTTTTCACAGTTTACTAACTGTTTAGCCGATCTGCCTATACATTTAAAAACAGCAAGTAAAGGGACATTTGATTTCCACATGATTGGATATTTCAAGTGAATATCCACACAGTTTATTGTGTAAAGATTCTCAACTTCTTTAGTAAATCAACCTCAGTGTATACTCCAAGCAAACTTGTCAGTGTAATTAGACTTTGACAGCACAGTGTACTGATCTATTATAATTGCATACACTGTCTTACAATTTGTTGCACAAATTGCAGAACAAATAACAAAGATGCTGCTAGTTCCATATAAAAATAACCAGCTGTGAATTGTACACCATCAATCTTTAGCCCAGGTGCTAAAGTAGTTTTGCCCATAGTTAGGATCGTAGTTTGCAAACCACCTAGAAATTTACATCCAGTTGACAAAGTTACATCCATACAAATGTAAACCCATAAATAAATAAATATGGATCCATAAACATAAAAGAGAATATTGCTTGCCATGGCAGCAGCTAAGTCCGTGCTCAGCAGGTTAAGAAATAATTTTCTCTGACATTGGGATCTTGGAGCTACATGTAGGTAATTATTTAGCATATTAGTGGATTATTTGGGTTAGGGGTTAGCCTAGTGTTAGGCTGAACAGTTTATTGTTTTAAGGATTAAGTACTAGCATGTTAGGTTAAAAGGCAAAGGCTCAAATTAGAAGTTAACTGTTGTTAAAGATTGCGGAGCTAGCTGTCATTGCTAGCTCCGCACAATCATTTTTTATTTACTTTTTTAAAACTTTTAAAACTATTTTTCTGTTCTGCTCGGTCCCTCTGAGGGACAGAACAGCCGAGCCGAATGTCGCGGCATTCGGCTATTCACTCACTGCTGTTCGGCATCTATAAGAATAGCCGGCCTGCCGGAGGTTCAGCTCAGCCGATCCAGATGTTGGATCAGCTGAGTCGAACTCCTTCTGCACTTTGGGTCAGCCGAACATGCTGAGCATGTTCGGCCGACCCGAAGCCATGCGAAGCAAGTCGATGTACAGCTGATTTCAGCCGATATATATGGCTGAAATCCGCCGTATAAGCCTGAAGTGAATAGCCGAACAGTGTTCGACTCACTTCACTTGGGGCCGGTTGTTCACTCGGCTGCCCTCGGCAGCTTAGTGAATAGACCCGCAAGTGTTACAGTTGGTTTAAGTGGTAAGAAGCAGGATAAGGTTTAAATGTATGGTGTTGGGGGCATGGCCAATGCCATATTTGCTATAGTTGCACCTGTGGAACGGTGCCAAGTGTGTCAGGTAAGGGGGCGGCCGATCATGTGCATTTAAAAAAAATGTACAAACATGTTTTCCCCCTGCTCCTTGTTGCTACTGCATATATATGCTAAATCTGGTGAAGGAAGTGAGGAGGGTGTGAGGAGGTCTAGTCACCCTGCATATAAAGTTGTTAACCATGTTTATTTTCACATCATGAGATATGTGAACCAGGGCAGCCTATTTACATTGTTTACACATGAAGCAAGCTTTTCCTGTATGGCAAGTCACATTCTTGGAAGTTAATGACATCCAGTTATAAATCACTATTTAGTTCATATCAACAGTACAAACTGTGTGCGAGAAGAAACTCGCTTTGAGGACGTTGGAGGCAGCTTGTATGATTGGACCTGTAAAGGTCTGTCTAATCCCTTGTACTGTTGATTTATCTGGAACAGTCCTGCTGCCCATAAATTAGTTTTCATGGAATGCACAATAACACATTAAAAGGGCATGTGTGTTAAAGCACCGCAAAGATTTAAATGAGTCCTTAATTAATAGTCCAAAAACAATGTTTTGAGGGATAAAAAAAATCAAACTCTTTTGATTTTCTTGTCACTTGTATTCTGCAACAGCTAAAAAAAAAGAAGATGACCCTTCATTATACTTTTTGGTAGGCTAGAACCGAAAAATTGGGATAATACTAGGTTGAGCCTGTTGGTGATGTTGCATATCATTCAAAATGTCAGCATCTAATAATACATGGTAGAGACAGAGAAGCTGAAAGCGTATAAAGGGAATTTCTGCTCAATCTTGAAAGTTTTTTGATCAATGCTTAATGCCATGAACCTTGTCACTTTGTATGTGCAATAAAGGTTGATGTAGGAATGTTTTGGTGCCTGTATTGGGTGGGTTTGGTTTCCTTTATACACCGAGTGTCCAGATTATTATGACCACCCCATCAGTACTTCGTTGGGCCACGAGATGACTCCACGAGATGACTTAGTTGGGCCACCTCGTGACTCCACGAGATGTTGAAAGGTGATGCGAGGAATCTGACACTGCACTGTTGCCCTTCTGTTGTCTTGTACCAGTCTTGCCACTCTCCGTTCTGCCCTAACATTGACTAGTCACTGATGGCCACAATTCGCACGTTCAGACCCAGATTTTCTTCTGACAGTCCAGTCTTTAAACACTTTAACAACAGCTGCTCTTGAACATTTAACGAATTCTGCTGTTTTGCTGATACTCGCTCCATGGCTCCGAGCGCCAACAATCATCCCACGTTCAAAGGCTGTTAAATCGTGTAAACAACCTGCTTCCCTATTTATAATGGTCTGGCCCTCTAGCAACTTCAGCGCGGAATTATAGCTAATTATAGCTAATTTGCCTACAAACGTCAGGTGGCCATAATAAACTGGCCACTCAGTGTATGTTCCAGGTTAACTTTAAAGCAGACACTGCTCCTCCTAAAGTGATGAGTTAATTGCTTTTTTTTTTTTTTTTTTGGGCATTTCCTATCCTCAGAATTATTCTTTACTGTGTTCCTTGGCTGCCAAGTACATACAATTGCTATAGACGGCTGGGTCCAAATTTATGTGTATATTTTATCTAGATACAAAAAACCTCAGCAATATAATTTAATAATAGTAATAAAGTAGATATACTTCTATAGTCAATGTACTACTGTATAAAAACTACAGCCCCAATTCCGAAAAAGTTGGGAAGCTGTGTACAATCTACATAAAAACAGAATGCAATGATCTGCAAATCGCATAAACCAATATTTTATTCACAACAGAAAATAGAAAACATAACAAATGTTTAAATAAGATAATTTCAAAATTGATGGCAGCAACATATCTCACAAAAGTTGGGACAGGGCAACAAAAAGCTGGCAAAGTAAGTAGTACTAACAAGAAAGAGCTGGAAGAACATTTTGCAACTAATTAGGTTAATTGGCAACAGGTCAGTAACATGATTTTTTTGAATATGGTAAATTTTCTCAGTTTAAACATTTGAGATGTTTTCTATTGTGAATAAAATTGTAGATTTTACACAGTGTCCTAACATTTGGAATTGAGGTTAAGTTCCCCCAAAAATGGTTAATGGAACAAGGAACACTGAGAAACTAAAAATAAGCTTGCCTCATATAATTTTTCACAGATAGTTTGATCATCCCCATTTTGCATGTCGAGCCTAAACAGTAAAAAGGAAAGAAAGTTTAATTAGAAATATGCGATGATTCATGTTGCATTTCATACAGTGCTGTTTACAAAGCCAAAGGAATGTATTTGTATATATATGGTATAGACGATAATGGAATGTGCAAATTACCAATATAGTACAATAGATACATGAAAAAATTTCCATGTGTCAGTTTGAAGGTAAACAATAGGCACATCACATTCTACCTTATATGATCAGTTAAGACTTGTAATACCTATCATTCAACCTATGTGACAATGATAGGGAACGGTGAGTGACTCATATTTAAAATGGCAAAGCAGGAATAAGCAATCAGCCTATGGTATAGCAATATAGTCATATATAACAAGGGTTGGGTCGGATTCCAATAACTGGAGACTATATGTACACAACCTTAAAACTAAATAAAGAAAACATCATAGTATGTTTTTGTGATTTTTTTCTAGGTCAGTTGTATGTAGAAACATTTAGCCTATTTATTTCATTTAGTTTTTTTTTTTTTTTTAAGCAAGTATGTCTTTATTGATTTTGAATCACATAAGATACATGGCATTGGATGCATTACGAACAGTAAGGTTTGTTACAAAGGCAAGTAGCCAGCCGGATACAAGCCATGGACAAGCAAGTAATGCATTGGCATCATTATAACACATAATAACATAACATATAGCATGGTATAATAATATAATCTCAAATTCTGTATAGTTTAGTTTTTATACTTTGTAGCCCTGTAAAAACTGATTCCAGTTGACCTACTGACAGAAATATTTATCAATGCACTATTTCAGATGGTTGGACTTCACCATCATATGAAACTCTTCTTCCCATGCTCTATGCAAAATATAAACCTGAGTGTGGTTTACACACCTTTCCATGCTTTGCCTGGAGTTAGGTTTTAATACCTTTACGTTTTGGGTTTTGTTAGTGACTAAGAACCCATTCACACTGAGCTACATCAGAAAAAGCTACAGTGCACATATTGAATAGAAGATACATTTTTTGGCCGTGTACCTCAAATAGAAAAAGTCAAAGGGAGCACGATTTCACACCCCAAATTAACAGGTAATGGTAGATTAGAAAGATTTTCCCTAAAGGTGTGCAAAAACAGTGGTGTGCACATATTGTCATGCTATGGCATGGACTTCATAGCTGCTACATTGGGCTGTATCTTATCAAAAGTGCTCTTGATGTGACATAATTCCTCTTCCTGTTTCCTGCTTATGTTCCTGCATTGAGCTGTGAAATGTAAACAGCTCCATTGACATGCATTGGACAAGCTACATTGAGCTACATTGAGCTTATGTTTGAGCAATTTTTGAGCTGAAATCGCACTACAAATTGTTCAGTGTGAATGGGGTCTTAGGGCTAATTCACATAGGCACAAAGGCTTTATCTCTGTGACTGGGAACCACAGGTGTTGCACACAGCTCACCTGTACAAATAAATGGTAGGCTGCAGCTGTATGGTGGTAAACATTGCTCCGAGTGTATAGGTATGGATATATGCTCTGGATTCAAACAGTTCACATCCATACCAGTATGTAGCAGCAGAATCTACTACCATTCAGCTGCAGCCTGTCAATTTTTACACGTGGGGTGTACACAACATCTGTAGCTCCTAACCACAGGGATTTGGCTGTTCTTTTACTGTGTATGGACCTCTATATCTGTGCAAATGAGCACTAAGGGGTCTATTCACAAAGCTGCCGAGGGCAGCCGAGTGAATGACCGATCTGAAGTGAAGTGAGCCGAACACTGTTCGGCTATTCACTTCAGGCTGGTACGGCTAATTTCAGCCATACAGCGGCTGAAATCAGCCGTACTTCGACTTGCTTCGTGTAGCTTCGGGTCGGCCGAACATGCTCAGCATATTTGGCCGACCCGGAGTGCAGAAGGAGTTCGACTCAGCCGATCCAACATCTGGATCGGCTGAGCCGAACCTCCGGCAGGCTACTCACTGCTGTTCGGGCAGTGAGTGAATAGCCGAATGCCCGTGAGCGGCATTCGGCTCGGCTGTTCTGCTCGGTCCCTCAGAGGTACCGAGCAGAAGAGAAAAACAGTGAAAAAAGTTTAAAAAAGTAAATAGCAAACGATTGTGCGGAGCTAGCAGTGACAGCTAGCTCCGCCCAATAGTTTCCTATTGTCGGACGGCTCTGCTGCTGTCAAAAAAAAAACCTCTCCTGGGCGCTCTGGGAGCCTCCCGCTCCCGGCCGCCCATGAGAGAAGCACTGATGTGTCTTTTTTTTCTTTATTCTGACACGATCGATGTCAGAATAGAAAAAAAAGAAATTTTCCCATTAAAAAGCATTGGGATCTTCAGGCTCGGCTGAGCCGCTCGGCCATGATCGGGAGCTGTACGGGCTATTGTGAATAGCCTGTACAGCACCTCTTCGGTTCTACTGAACCGAAGGGGTCCTGGGGCCGAAGCTAGCCGAAGGATCGGCCGAAGCTATGGCCAGATCCTTCGGCAGCTTCGTGAATAGACCCCTAAGAGTTAGCTTTGGGAGTAAATACAAGAAATGTGTCTTTAATAAGGATCATATGTGTGTTTAGTTCGTTCAAACTAAATTGATCATGTGTTTCATTGTAAATGTCATAACTAAAGACACATAACAGAAGCTTATTTAATAAATAATAAAGAATGTTACAGAGTTCAGTAATTCATAGCAACTAATGGGAACTTTTTTCTCACACTATGTTGCTTCAGTAAATGGGAATCTCATGGGTTATGGGTTGCTGTATTTTGCATCTTATCGCTAGACAGGTAACCTCACAAAAAAATTGTATAGTTTCGGATCGATTATGATTTTTACTTTTTTCATTTTTCGGGAAACAAAATTCAGTTTGTTATTCAGATTTCATATCTGTCCAAATTTTTGTTTCGGAAAGATCCACATGGATCTCAGGAAATCATATGACCATGCCATGTAATGCAACACCTAACAGCCCAAAAAAATCTGGTTAGCCAGAGACACATGTACGATTTAGTTTCCTTTTGCGAAACTCCGATGGATCCGATTTTTTGTTAAAAGAACATTTAGGGGTTGATTTACTAACCTTATAAACACACCACGAACATGTATACACCTCTGTAGTGTGTTCCCTCCCAGCATGATCTATGGGTGGAATCTAAACACCTTTGTAGTGTGTACACACCCAGCAGGTATGTTGTGCAAAGCCAAGCATGAATTGCAAGGTGATGTTGTGTTGCTTGCGTTGATGAATGCAGGAATGTAAATGCATGAGCTAACCATTTTTGTCTAAACTGTGAAGCAGCATTATATATGCATCATGTGCATGATTTTTCCATATATGGCATTAGTGGAAATATGCTTTTAGAGACTTTTTGGTTGATAAATACGTTTTGCTGTGTGAAAATCACACGCACCTGCTGCGTGCGTGTGTTTAGGTTAGTAAATCACCCCCTTAGATTCATTCGCATTCGGACGCGTTTGAATTTGAACATTTAGATGCGTCCAAATTTAAAAAAAATCACATGAATATACAACTATAACTGTTTTTGTTTAGACCTGTAATGAAAATGATACTGAATATACTGTGCATATATGAACTTTTGATAATTTTACATTACTGTGTTTCCTTAAAGTGCACATTTGCCCAGATTATGGACATTACACTTTTTACATATGTTTACCAGGCACTAAAAGAGCTTTAAAACAAGCCTCACTCACCTCTCTAGCTGCATGAAATGTGAAGCAGTTTATTATAAAAATCCTTAAAGATCACACTAAAGACTCTGAAATCAGTTCCACTCAGTGTCTAACAGCTTAGAAAGACCTGCTGGCTGTTTATATTGAGGGCTGGCAGGCTGCTAAGATTCTGCTCTCATATAAAAACCTAAGATTTCAATTCCTGTGTTGTGAACTTTGAAAATTAATTTCTCCACAATTCATATAGCTAGAGAAGTGTTTAAGTTCAGAATATGTAAATGCTTTAGTGTGCATCTGGGCACAAATTCACTTTAAAAAGTACATAACTATGATTAAGAAAACTATTACTATTTATCAGTATATATATTATAAGTTGAGCAGCGCAGGCTTTTCTCGATGGGCTTTTCTTTGCATCAGATTTGCATTACCACACTCTACAGAAGTTCAAAACCTGCTTGAAGCAGGTCAAATACAGGTCAGCAGGAGGTCAACTATAGGTCAAATTCACCTGGTAAATGCATTTTGAATATTTTCAGAAACAGCTGAATCTGATGTCAAACTGAAACCATCCGCACAAGTCCTAAGCCCTTGTTTTTTTATTATACATTGTTGAACTGTTTTATCAGAAAATGGACTGCAAGTTCTTGTAATCAGCAAGTCATTTTAGGAAAGAATGATTCAGTTTTTTTTTCTCAACCAAATCAAAATAGATTGTCAGAGTCTGAATCTGAAACAATGTATTCTGTCTGAACAAAATTTTAATTTTCAAATTATCAGCTCTTTGGAGTACACATACATGTATTTTTGCAAAAAAGTTACTATTGTCAGGCAAAATGCTACAGCGTGTTACACACTGAGGGGAATGTATCAAAACTGGAGCTGAAGAATATGGAGCAGTTGCCTATGGCAACCAATCAGCTTCTCTTTTCAGTTTGTTCAGTTAAGATTTAATATTGAAAGGTGGAGGCTGATTGGTTGCCAATGGCAACTGCTCCAAATTCTGTCTGCTCCAGTTTTGATAAATTCCCCTCACTGGGTTTTAAAATAGATTGGACCTAAACAAACAATCTATCATTCAAAACAGATTTTATTGTACTAGGTTTGGAAAAGCATTGTCAGCTCTTTTTTAGAACTTTAGTTTTAACTTTTTAAAAAGTTTTTTGTTAAAAAAAAGCCTCATGTTGTCCCCAAAAAGGAACATGTTTTGTCAAAATAAACTTTTTTTTCCCCTAATGGTGCAAATTTTAGCATGGGGATTGTCCGCTTCTGAGACTTAAATAGTAAGGTATTTTGTATAAAAATAAATATTTATCTTTCTACAGAGAGTAGTGAGTAAGTGCATGTGCTTCACATCTGCCACTTGCCTACCTACCATTTCCCACCTTCCCCCTTTCCAATCAACACAAGACTTGGCAACTTGGGTTTTTACATGGGGGTGTGTGTTTTTGCTTTTCACCCCTGCTGATTAACTGCAGCAGAAGATAGGCATTTTTTTTCCTGGTCAGAGGAGAGACTAGGTTCTATACCAAAGCATCTTGAGAACATGATGTCGGCAGCCCTACACCCAATTTATCCAGCTTCCTATACTGGATAAACAGATAGGGTAGAGGAAAAAAGATGAAAATTCAAACATGCATCTGGAAGGTCTAGGAAACCAAGATATGCTGGAGATCTGATTTTCATATACTTATCGTTACAAGATAAGATTATTCTTCACAATCTATTGCATTTTGGCTTTTTTTTCTAGGCAAAATGCAGGTCTATTCTAGGCAAATGTGGGTCTATTATTTTCTTAACACCACGGCGCATACAATAATCCATGTTATAACTCACACTTTAATGTGTTTTACCACAATACACATTAATGTGCTGAATATGTTCATGGCAATAACATGCATTATTAATTGTACCACAGCTATAAAAGTAAAAAAGCACACGCGGTATTCCACAACACAGAATCAAAAGTCAGAACACTTATTCCCTAGTTTTAATGAGTATTTAACCCTTGCAGTGTGGGGTGGCCAAGGTGCACTGTGAATAAGAAATTGGTTTGTGCATTGCAGAGTGTTGGGCAACTTATTCAATTAAGAAGCTACCTTAATGCAACACATTTTAAACATGTATTGACACATATGCATTTAACACAGGACAATAAAACTGAGTGGTGTGCATGGGCCCTTATAGGGGAATGTTAACATATATGTTTGATTCTGAATACTTGTGAGGTATAGGGGGGAATTTATCAAAACTGGAAGAGACAAAATCTGGAGCAGGTTTGCACGGCAACCAATCAGCTTCTCTGTCTCATTTTGAAATCTTACCTGAGCAAACTGAAGAGAGGTGCTGATTGGTTGCCGTGGGCAACTGCTCCAGTTTCTCTCTGCTCCTGTTTTGATAAATTCCCCCCATAGTGTCCAGATGCCTATGCAAAAGTTCTAAAGAAATATTGCTCCATGCAAGAAAAGCCTGCATGTAATATTAAATATAATATTATGCACTGATCTTCTAAGCCTATGTCCTGTATTTACATATTTATATGTCTACAGTGTATCCAGCTTTAATGGCACCGTCCTGCTATTAATACTACTGCCAGCCCAGTCTTCCCTTTCATCAGTCATGCTTGTGTTTAAGTGAAAGCTAATATCAGATTAGTTTCTGTTCCTAGTAGAACATGTATTAATAAAGGACCCAGGAACAGCTGGTCATGTAATGTTTGCATAGCAATTCTTCCGCCTATGTGAGCGTCTATATAATTACCATAATCTCATGTTATCACTGATACATTTCTTGATTGAGGCATATATCTATTTACATTAGAGCTGTTGTTAGTTTATATTATCTTACCTGTCTGCTTCACGCACTGTGTTCCTGATAAGCTGCAAACAGAAATAGTTCAGGTTGATTATATTTATGTTACAGCTGGTTTAACATGTTTGCCATGCCTGTTACATTAAAATTGAGAAAACTGCTTTTTTTTGCTTGTGTGAAAAATTGACAATATTTAGTACGCAAAACATTGACTAATACAGTACAATGGTTTACCTCAGTGGTGATACGCATTAGCCATCAAATATTTACCATAATTAATCATGAATATTTATATAATAATATATAAAGGTCATTAAAAATAGCTGCTCCTCGAACTTTCCAGGTTTTAAAGATTTGTTCAGACATGATGTCTAGTAATCCCTATACCCTAAAGTGATTTGACTTTCTTTGTATAACCAAAAAACCTTTATAGGAAAACTCTACTTTGCCTAAAATAATTACATACCATATACTGTATAATTGTTATGTAAACTATTTTGTTGTGTATACTGTGACAGAAGGCTAATAAAATGTCTGGGTCAGACAGACAGATAGAGTATGTGTGGCCCAGGTTCAGGCATTTTACTGAATGTTTTCCTCTAGGGTGAAGTGTTGAGAGGACTGGAGGCATGGAGGTAGCAACCCCAGCTTAGGCAAGCTGGCTTGTTAGGACCTCTATAAGATTTCCTAGCCTGCTAAGCAGGCCTGAGCAGAATGGGGAGCTAAACACCTGTGTGGTGAAAACCAACCTGTGTGGCAAAGGTGAGCCTGTGTGGCAAATATATGACCGCAAGCCTGTGTGGCAAATTGACGTAAACCGGCCTGTGTAGAAAGTGTGTAAGATCCAGCCTGTGTGGCAAAAACATTGCTTAATTAGAGAGTTAGGTGCTTGGGGCAGCACAAGTTTGCCCCTAGCTGTTAGTGAGGGAAAACTGTGTGTAGTAAGACACCAAGGGGCAAGGATTTATTTTCGCATTTCTTTTGTTTTGCTGTTGTTTGGAGCTAGCAAAATTAGTAAATAAATTGCATGTGGGCTTTTCACCAAATGCACGTGGGCTTGTCACCAAAAGTCATTGGCTGCTGTGGCTGTTTTGTGTGGATACTCATCCAGGGAGTCTCAGATACCCGCTGCCAAGCTACTGCTGAGCTAATACCTTTACAATACATATTAATACATATAAAGCATACCAATTTGTGCTTGTGTGATTGGATACCTGTTCTTTTATAGATGTTAGCTGTGAGTTACACACCAGATTTCAGGCATCCCCTGCAAATGGGAATTTCATTTTGGTTCGATACTTTCTAAGACTCTTCCATTCTGAAGGGATGCAGATACTGCAGCTTTCTCATTGCAACATTGGGCTTGTACCAGTTGGTGAAAGTGAAGGCAGATACATACCCTCATTCAGAAATCAAAGGAGATGGTAAAACACCAACAGCAATTTAATTTCCAATATTTTTACTGTCAAAAAAAGTTTACATTGCAATGATGAGTAAATCAGAAGAATAAAAAAGATGAAATGTTAGTTCCAACCCAGTAACAGCGTTTTCAGAAAAAGGTTTATAATCCTTGTACTGTATAGAAAGGACTTTTGTCTCAGTAAGTGAAAAAATAATACACATTGTGTTACAAAGGTTTAAGCAAATTAAAAATATGGGGTATCCACCCCTTCAGATTGCCCAGAATCCACAGCTTTGCTCAGTTGTATGAATGAAGCATATAGAAAAACAGAGTCTACCAGTCCAATGGACAAAATAGGATCTTTGTTCAAGAAGACAAATACTGTAGTGAGAACACCTTGCCATGTTTTGCATTCAGCATTCAGTCATAAGGCTCAAGGCTAAGCACTGTAGTGCCGAATGTGTCAAGGTTTCTGATTGCTATATGTGTCTTCTAGAATAAACCTTCCGTTTCTGCACTCCTGAACTCCTTTTTCCTGCCTGGTAGCTGACAGAATAACTGTATCTACTTGATTCCCACTCTATTAAAATAAAATGGAAACACATTTTGGACAGAGTTGTACTCTAAACTTGAAAATAAATGTGTGTTTAAACTAAAATGTGAGTTTTAGAGTGTCATGCAACTCATAAATTTAATCAAACGAAAAAAATCTAAAATCCCTCCAACTTTCTTGAGTCTGAAATAAACTACGCAAGTCTGAAAAATAAAAAAAAAACAGGAAGTTGGCACCAACTTGTTCTTATAGTGTATTTGTCTATTTTTGATCAAAAAATAAAAAGGTGTAACCAACCAACACCCTCTCATTGATACAGGCCCAGCACACTAGGATAAAGACTAGTTTCCATATGGCTGGAGAAGGCTACTGGGTGGGGGGTACCTGATAGCTAATTTTTTGTGCTCTTCAGCAACAGAATCGGTAATTGTCATGAGGGGTGTTGTGCCCATGTCTCATCTCTTGTTGCTTGGTATTGGGTCCATCTGCATCTCTGGTGCTTAGGAGTATATGTGTAAATTTGTGGGAGTGGGGTTGAATCTTTAATTCACCAAACCCTCCTTTTTCTATAGTAGCTGATAAAAAATACTGAAGATGAAAACTATCAAGCAGTCTAACATCTGCCTAGGAGAAGGACTTTTATTAGTAAGTCTAGGCTTATTAGGTTTTGTGAGATTACTGATCTGTCAGTTGCAGGTTAAACCATCTGGGTTTGCTTGTCTCGCACTAAAATTCCCATTAACTAACAGTGCAGAAAGGCTGGCTTTTTTAGTACCTAGTTTTGCATTTATGGTAAAGAATTTGTAAGAAATGCAAAGCAGGAAGTAAGGATAAAATACCAAGGTAATTTCATAATCACAATGCAATGGAAAAAGAGAACATTTCCTTTAAGCAATATGTAGTTTGTTCTTGTATTTGTGTATTCTGCGGGCACTATATACATAAAAGCCAGGAGCCAGATTTTTAAGGAAGTCTCTAGAATTGTAAGTACAGAGCTTAGTAATCCATTGGTGTGAGAACAAATTACATGATTAGATAAGGACGTAGGCAGATTAAAAAAAAAGTGTGTGCAGATATAAAATACCCACATTTTATCAAGTTATTCTTTAAAATTTACATAATTGTTTTTTTTTTTTTTAAAGAACAGCAATAATGCTTTGTACTATCTTCCTGTAATCACTGTACACCCGTATTCAGACTGGGAGAGTGGGCAGTAATGTAAGGCATTCCGACTTTACTGCATTACCTATTGCTGGAAACAGAGGGGCATCTGCCATGGGAGCAGTTTATTTTTAATGTGGAATAGGGAGAGCACTGGGAGCTTGCCAGTGCTTCGTTCTGCAGTTGCCTGAATGACAGGAGTGACACTGCTGTTACTCCTATAATTTAGACAGCTGGAGAACACAAAGCATTAGAGTAGAGCAGGGGTCGTGATAGCTGCTGGAGGGAGAATTCTACTCTCCTCCTTCCAATAGCAGTCTACTGAGAGCAGAAGAGAGCAGGGAGACTGAGACTAGACCTCATTTTCAGTACGGGCTTCCCCCATGGAGGGAGGGCAGACTGTCCTTCTTCCCATTTCATTTGTCATGTAATATATCAAATGGACAGAGAGGGGAAGAAGGAAAAGCTGCCTTCATTCTCTAGCAGATGCCATGCTGTCAATAAGGTCACACTGGAATGAGTGTAACATATGAGTTTAATAGCAGTGCAATGGTGCTAGTTCACATACATGTAGAGCGCTGACATGCACTGGCTAAAAAAAAGGTCATATCCTTTTTATCAGCTGACAATAAACATTATAAGGGCTTTGAATAAGAATATCAACAAGTCATAAAGCACGTCAAATATGCACAATAAAAATATACTGCAACACAATCCAATAAGTGTGAATCCAACCTTCCACTTTCAACAGGAAAGTAACAATGACTAGTCCGCGTAACTACAATGAGGCAGCAGGAAGAATGTCAGATCTGCTCCCACTTTTGTTAAATGAACCTTTGATGCCTGTGGGAGTCTCAGAAGTAAGCAGTATTGCAATGCATTGTTAGCACCCTAAAAGTGTTGCCATGTGTGCATCCCTATAGTGTCTATAATGATTTTTTGTATGTCATGAAAAACATGTTATGAATGATTTTTGAAGTACCATAAAGATCTAAACATGGAATTTCAATGCATACTCAGCATTCAAAAGTTCAACAATTCGGGATTTAACATACCGCAAGACAAAGACTATTATAGTGCTTGTTAAAGTATATGTCATGTCAAATGTTGGTGTACACTCACATAATGATTAGGGCAGTTATTCTGTAATCTGCTGAACAAATTACAATAAACATCCTTACAGTTAATTTTACTGAAATAATCTAAATGTAGCTAAATGTATAGGGGCAAATAGCATCTAACATAGCAACAATGCTATCTACAAAAATGATTGTCAACACAATATATAATTGCCAAATAAATGTGGTCTCCATGTATATTATATTTATTTTCAGCTCTAAAAGAGCATAGAAAACCAAAGTGCAGAACTAGTTTTTTTGTAGGTCAAGGATAAGTTAAATGAAATTCATACAATGTGAGCTCTAAATTTCAACACAAGTCACTTCATCAGCATTATGATCTCATAGAAGCTGGAATTTCAGTTGTCATGTGCCGATTGGTTATGTTGCATTATAGCTAATGTTTTCCTTCCTTCTCCATTCAGAAATTATATTTGAAGAGGGCTGCTTTGGACCCCATACTAACTCACAAAGTCGAAAAATAGTGTGGGTTTGGAATCATTGTTACAATACTTTGGAAATCTTAGGGCTATGTTCTCATTTTCGTTAAAAGCTTAGACTATTTTAATATCCTCTGTAATGAAGGAAGAATGATACCCTTATGGACAAGTAGTTCACAGAAGCCCTGCGTCCTATCGTCGGGGGCGTCTTATAGACCGCAAAATACGGTAATTGGTCCACTGGACTGTTGATTCAACCACTGACAAGTTAATCCAGGTACAGAAGAATCCTATGAGTCTGTTCATTGTCTCTGTGGTGCAGTAGAAAGCACTATTCTCTTCTACCACCTAATATATTCATGTGTCTGGGGAAATAGTTTTATGCTACATATGAACAGATATACTGTATATATTCTCTGTCACACGAGAGACCTGCAAACTGTTCCAGTGCAGAATATAACAATACATAACAGTCAAGCAGTGACTTTTAATTTTTAATATATAGACTATAAAAGTAAATGTTTATTTTGGTGAAAGGGAGAAATTCAATTTCATCTATAAAAATCCTGCATTGTCCCCACTTGCTCTGGATGCACAGTGAATGACCAATACAGTATATTAAAGACAATAGGCAAAGAGACAACTGACCGATTTATTAGAGACAATACAGGCAAATAGGCTTGTCACTGTGCAACAGGAATTTCCCGTTAGCTTATTGAATGTGATGATCACTAACTAAAAGATAAGAAAATAAAAAAAACAGTATTTTTGTTTGCACATGATTGGATGATTGGATGATGGAAGTCAGAAGAGCTGAACCTCATTCACTAAAGCACTGGGAAATTCCCTCACAAAGTGAACAGACTGCTTGCATGTGGTAAATAAACAGATCTAGTTTTATACAAATTGCAGCAAATAATAATAGTGCAAAAGTATTACCCATAGCAACTATATTTCTTTATAAATTACTTTATGGGCATATATATATATGAGAATGTATGGTGAAAATCGCATTCACTGCTTTATAAAAAGACCCCAGTATGTACTATGCAATATTATATACATAGATATAACTGGTTTCTGGTATTGTACATACATATACATTACTGATTAAAGTGACACTAAACTCAGGAATTGAATCCTAAAAATGCATTCAAGTACCTTAATTATTAACAAAAATGTAGCTTATTTGTGTATCACTCGGCTATAGATCATCAAATCATCTCTAAATGTGTACTGACTCTATACTTCCTTCTAGAGGGTGGCTACTTATGTTCCCCATGGTCACTGTGTGTGTTGTAAAGTAGCCAGCGCTCCAAGCTCCCACCTATGATGGACTACAATCTCAATACAAATTAGTAAACTAAACGTGGGATTGTATTCCATCACGGGAGCGAGCTTGGAGTGTTGGCTACTTTACAACACACACAGTGACCATGGTGAACAAAAGTATCCATGCTCCAGAAGGAAGGACAGTGTCAGCACCAATTCATAGATGATTTAAAGGATCTACAGATGAGTAATACACAAATAAGGTACAGTATTGTTAATAGTTAAACTACTTGAATGCATTTTAAATATTTAACTCCTGAGTTTAGTGTCACTTTAATGTTTATCAAGAAAGCATTATTTTTCCAGGTCTATCTAACTATGCATCTACTTGCTGCACATATATTACTAATGTATCAATTGTTCTTGATAATTACTGTACGTAAGTACAGGGACACAGAATTAGGCTGTTTTTATTAATACTTAAATTATGTTGTCAGCCACTGCAGGTTCTATTGCTAAGCATTGCCTTCAATAGCCACAGCCTAGGCTAGCCACAGCCATATTTGCCCATAATCATGCTAATGTGGGGGCAGTATGGCCGATTTAAAAGTGTCTTGCCTGCAACAACCATACACTAACGATCATAAAATCAATTTGCTCTCTACAGTCTGGACAAATCTATGTGCCTAGTCATGTGAAAAAAATGAGTGATTCCCTGAAAAAAAAGAAAAGGTTTGTCAAGGTCAGCAGATGTGCGCTATTTTTAAATGAGTGAGTCAAATTCAAACTACACTGAAAAATTTAATTTAGATGTATAGACAATATTTTTTATAAATGAGTGAGGGGCATGTAAAATAAAGCCACAAATTAATTGTTTTAATTTACCTTTTGGTTTCTTCTGAGCAGCTGAGATTAACAAAGTCCATAATTTTGCACAATAAAGTATAACTGCTTTTTTCTTGATCCCAAGTTGTTGTTCTAACCCATGACAAAAGGACCCTGAAGCCATGTCATGCTATAATCCTGCACAGAATGAGATAACATACACAGCACATTAGTTAAATACTTCAGCTGAACATTAAAGTTCACCAGACTTAAGGTGCCCATACACCTTACAATTATCTGCAGATTTTCTGTGTTTAGATGGAAAAAGTGCAACAGATTGGCCCAGGTGGAGATTACTCCATCCACACAGTTAAAGCGATATTAAAGGCAAAACATTTTTTCCCTCCCCCCCATGTAAATGTTAGCACTTACCTTAAATTATGTCTCTTTTTCCGATCTTCCTCTTCTTTCCCCATGTTTTCATCTGTCCCTCCAGCGGTGTGACGTCACTCCGATCCAGCGCTGACTGCTCTGTCTCTCCGATCCAGCGGTGTCTGCAGGCGGGTGCACGCGTCCATAGACTTACCTTGCGTCTCTGCTCGTCTCCCGGCCGAGAATCGGAACTGCGCATGCGCCCGCCCCAAGATCCTTTGCGGCCGTACGAGCAGTTACTGATTCTCGGCGCAGGATCGAGCGGCGATAACGAGGTAAGTTTAAAATGATTTTAAGCGTTTTTTTACACTTCTTGCCTATATCTACTGCATGCTAGCAGTAGATATAAGCAAAAAAAAAACGGAGGGTTTAGAACCCCTTTAAGTGTAGATGGAGGAATCTGTTGCACCTTTTCCATCTGACCACAGAAAATCTGCAGATAATTGTAAGGTGTATGGCCAGCTGTAGCCTAAAAAAACCCTAAGGTAGCGAAAGTGTTGAAGTATGGTGTTTGAAAGTACCTGTGTTACCTGTGTGAAAGTACCTGTGTTACCTGTGTGAAAGTACCTGTGTTTGAAAGTACCTGTGTTTGAAAGTACCTGTGTTAGTCTTTAAATTGGTCTAAGAGTGACAGGGGCTTGGAAACATCAACCTACTCACAGTGCACATGGAAAAATATGTAACCGTCCTTGTACCCACAAAATATGCTTTAAAAGAGAAATATGGGGTAACCTATTTATCCCATAGTTCTCTTTAGGGTCACGCACGAGAGGACATATACTAACCTCCTCCCGTGACCCAAAGCTCAGTATATAGCAGGCTGTGCCCGCCCTCTCCCTCGTCTGTTCCTCCAAAAACGCTGGAGGTAAGCGCTGGAGGATCAAAGAGGGGAGGGGGTAATCCCTGCAGGGAGCGGTGACTGACAGTCACCTCTCTCTGCAGGGAGATGATCAGGAAGTGATGTTCGATCACTTCCTGATCTATAGAGTCAACATGTGACAGTTTCATTATCACACGTTGCCTCTAACTATGAAGATGAGTGTAAATCACTCACCTCATAGTTCTCCTTTAATTACTGTGCCACAAGCAACAGTCTAATATACACACATACATACCTCAGCACATTCATTTGTAAAAAACAACTAAGAAGAACTTCATTAACATAGTAAATGAGTACAACATACCATAAAGAGTGCAGGTGCCAAGGGTATGTCATATATGGTCCAGCATACAGAGTGCAGTGGTCAGTTACAGTAACCTATTAAACCATCTATACTGGAATGGTTGGTCATATAATGCATCAGGTATATAGCAATATGAATGTAAGTAAATTCACATTAAAAAATAATGTCCCATCAAACAATCATACAAGCTGTAATAACACCCACAGCCAAACACATTCATAGCACCCAGCAAGCAACAGGTGAAAGTGGTACGAGCCAGACAGGTGACCATGCTTTGCTTCTCATCACATAGGAAGTTGGTCTTCTCAAAGGTTTAGTCTGTTTGTAATGAATAGGCTAAGCCTCTAATAGGTGCCTAATTGAGGTGGCCTACTTTAGTTGATTCATTGAGAAAAAAAACCTAAAGAATGCAGATCTACATGCTGGGGCTTTCTGAACCAGCTGTTGTGCCACGGATGGATGCTTTGGGAAGGGTTTGGACTCCCTGATTCCCCCCCTTATCTACTAATCAGGCTGCCATCACTAAGCCCACTTAAGCACTGGTATTTGACAACTAAATCTACGTAAGTCTACGCCACAGGAGGCAAAGCTTCATTTTTGCTCAGAGAAATGGTAAGGTCCTGTTGAGTTTAGGTATAGGCTTTAAGTAGGGATTCACCGATATTTCGGCCGCTGAAACATATCGGCTGAAAATGGCATTTTTGACAAAATGCCAAAAGTGCAATTTTTTGGATGAAACAGTGCTGCATCCATCCTTTCTCTCCTCCCCGCTGGGACAAAGAGCAGCACAGAGAGAAACTGTCACAGGAGGCCGAGCGGTGCAGGAGGAGGAGAGGGCTGTGAGCAGCCGGCGTCTCTCCTCCCCACACCGCTCAGCCTCCTGTAACAGATCAGGAGAGCAGTGTGTTGGCTGATACAGCTGTTAGCTGTCACAGGAGGCTGGCCAGTGGAGGAGTCAGCTGTCAGATCGAGCTCTCCTCCCTGCACCGCTCGCTCAGCCTCCTGTGTCAGCCGATCCAGGATGGAGAGCGGGTACAAACACTCAGCGATCAGTGATTGCTCAGTGTTTGTAAATAATTGAGGACAGAGTATATTTACTCTGTCCTCAATTATAAATGAATAGGAGTGATCTACATAACTTCCTGTTCATTCATGATTGTGGACATGGTAAACACACTATATCTACAAGTTATGAATGAACAGGAACACTCAGTATAGAGGATTCCTGTTCATTTATAACTGGGGCTGCAGAAAAAGAGATTGAGGACTCTGTGTTCTCAATCTCTTTTTTATATTTTATAATGTAAATATCAGTGGTCTGTTTAGAAATCTAGTATTTCTATTAAAAAAATAATTAAAAGTATTAAAAGTATAAAAAGTATTTTAAAAATCTGAAAAAAAGTTAGAAAAAACATTTTCGGGTTCGGTTTCAGCCTGATCTTTTTTTTCATTTCGGTTTTTGTTTCGGTTTCTGAATTTTAATTTTGCTGCACCTCTAGTTTTAAGGGGCACTACATGGACATCTGTAAGTAATCAGAAGGTGTCTGTATTTGACCCCTTTTGCAACCTAAAGCACTTTTGTGTCATAAACCAAGTCATAAAGGACATCATTTTAGCAAACAACCTTAATACAGGCATTTACTTAGCTATCTAAATTTCAGATGTTCACATATATTTGTTACAAGTCAATCTATAAAAAAGAAAATGTCTAAAGGAAAAAATAATTAATCAAACATTAAATTCCAATCCATTTTTCATAATTTTTAAACTTCTCTTCCTGTTTGACTGAATCTGCACTTCAAGTCTATTGTGTTCTAACTTTTACACAATATGATTGCAGCTGGTGATGCGCCAACAAGAATAGTGATACGTTTGGGTCACACTTTATACAGAGCCATGCATTGCATGTAGGAAAATGGTTACAGGTAAGACAGAAAGTCACTTTATTATGTAACAACCTTTACAAACTGTGGATACATTGTGACTTTGTGATTTAGGAAAATCCAGTCTGGTGACTTTGAACACTTCTCCAATGAATTCATGCATAAAATGTTCCAAAGAGCTCAAGCACTTTGTGAAGTTTCCTACTTTTCTCAAAGCAGGCTTATTTAACACATTGTCAGGTAATCATTCTTAAAAGAAAGACAGAATCTGTCTAATCTGTGCTCAGTAATCACTAGCATGTGCTTTTAGATCTCCCATAATCACATGATGCTACTACTTCATTACATAGCGGAAAGTGTTAACTAATCATTTTTCTTCATTACAGACTTGAACAGGTAAGAGAATAATTGCTCAACAATTGTTCATTTAGGAGGTTGATGGAAAATATTTCCCAAAGTATAATTTGCATCAAAATACAAGGTCCTCTTCTTTTATAAAAGAAGTCCTCTTTCTTTTGTAAAAATCTACAATTTAAAGCGCTGCGCAAACTGTTGGCACTATATAAATCTTGTATAATAATAATAAACAAAAAACCTGAGAAGAAATGTAAAAAAAAATACACTTACCTTTCACCTGGCTTTTGCTGCCTGCTAGGGTGACACTATGGGCCCTTTAGCGAGATCCTGGAATTGCTGAGGTTTATTTTCATGGGGCGGGGTTTTTCAAGGAGGAAGGGGGAGGATCTAAGGAACCTTGTATTTTGATGCATGAAGTGATACATTGGGGTCTATTCACAAAGCTGCCGAAGGATCTGGCCGTAGCTTCGGCCGATCCTTCGGCTAGCTTCGGCACCAGGACTCTTTCGGTTCAGGAGAACCGAGGGGGTGCTGTACGGGCTATTCACAATAGACCGTACAGCTCCCGATCATGGCCGAGCGGCTCAGTCAAGCGCTGAGCCGTGCTGAAAGACGAAGCTGGCCGAGCGGCCGGCCATTGGCCGGCCGACAGCCTGCTTCTGACAGCTGGGCGG